AGCTCCAGCAGAACCAGGCTCAGGACAGGAGACCATCTGCCTCGACCGGCTGCTTGGAGGACAGGAAAGAGACGCAGACAAACACAGAAGAACTGGTCCAGGACTGGTCCAGCCAGGTGCACCTTCTTCTGGAAGAGACAAAGAAAAAACATGATAGAAATAATTACAATGAACATKTAGAGAAGAGAGACTAAAGACAAGTGAGTGCAAAGTGCCGTTACCAAACAGCTACTGTGGAAAATTTCACAGTTTCTTACGCTTTACAGCTAAAAGTGAAAGTAAAACTAAAGTGTAAAAAAAACCTTGGGTTTTAAAAGTTGCCAGATAAATAAAGCTTTACTTAACTTGTTTACCCAGATACACACACCAACCCTCGCCAGATTGATGTACCAAAATGAAAATAACTTTGTCAGAAAATATTTGTTCATTTTCTGACTCTTTTTAAACTATACAGTAAACACTAAAGTAGCCTTTTTGTTTCTCTTTGCGTTTTTCTCTGAGCCCCTCCCACACAATACAGAGAACCCAAAAAAACAAAGAGGATGTTTCCGATCAAGCAAAGGCTGCTGCTGTAATGAATCTCATTTGCTACATTATTGTTCAACATCACAGTGGGTATATTTCCGTCTAAGACTGTAACTTGGTTTGCGAAAGCTAGACGTCATCTCAAATTTCACAGTTCCCCTCAAATGACAGCCTCATATTTCTTTTTTTTTTTTTTGTTCAGTACAGTGAGAGGTTGTTTGGTTTAAGCCCGTGTTGCTGTGCAGATGGATAAGGCAAACCACAACTGGAAATGTTTCAGTGTAAATGTTCCCGTCCACATGCTCATGGGAATACCCCCGTCCATGCTTTTTGTTCTCAGAAACTTTCAGCATTTCTTCTTCTGTCTCGATCGCTTTGTCGATCAGCTGCTCTTCCCGTTACACACTGTTGTTCTGGTACACAGATTTGATTGAGCGTGGGGCATAAAGTGCTCACAAACCCTTTGGGAGCACTCTTCCCTACTTCCCAGTAATCTGATTGTTTTACTCAAGCCCTTTAAAATCAGTTCACTCATTGTTTTTTCTTTTTCTGGTCTTTATACTCAATTCCACCTCTTACTTCTGTCTCAGCTCTCTTACTGAGTCCCTCCTCATTACTTACCAGCGTATGTTCCTTTGCCAACCACTTAATTTAACTTCCAGTCAGAGTGATGTATTCCAGCCAGGCAGYCAGTCACAGTAGCTTCCTGCACAATCACCCTGCCAAAGCTGCTGTGATTTACCGTACCTGCCTGGTATTTGAAGCATGACCAGACCGTGTAGCTTCAGGTTAATTAGGTTCCGCAGTGAGGCATGTTTTTGCCAGTTTGTTTTGTGAGTCATAATTTTGTTTTTCTCTCCTGAATGTTTTCACACAGAAAACTCACAGCCGCTGTGCAGAGCATAACAATAATCTCATGAAAACATGTCTTGAGCAGAAATAAATGCAAACTAAGAATTTATTTTCTCTTTATTCCACAGGTCATTGTTATTTTTTCTTATATGAAACATTTTTAACCAGTGGAATATTTTGATAAATAAATAAATAAATAAAACCACAGGATCCACACAC